ATCCTCTACCGAGCATACATGCACCCTAGCCGTTTGTAACAATATACCCTGTTGGTCACAGCCAGTGTGACCTACAAATTCGCTTCCTCCCTGACCTAGCTTTGCTATCCTGATCATCTTTACTTGGATCCCGTTCCGGTTTTTCCTCAGATAGAAATGTGATGTTTACCTTTATTACATCGTCTACAAACATAGGTTGACTTACAATTTTTTGCAATGTGTTTGGAATCGAAACAAATGAAACACTTCCCCTTTTGTCGCAAAATGTCTTCCCGAGACTGGTGATTAGAAACTTTAGAACATTTTGATGGGGAATGTCCCCCCTCATTACAGTATAAACACGGGGCCTTACAGGTTTGACCCAACAACCCACTTGCGGCATAGGGCTCCTTATTCCTAAAATGTTTAGAGATTTTAAATTCCGTACACAATTTTCAACGTGGTTGTACAAGGACCTAAGTCCTTTCACGTTGTCCGCCGAACTAATTTTATTAAGTTTAAGTAAAGATTCCATATGCGCGGAAATGAGCATCTGCACATTCTCAAATCTATCCTTTAATACCTTGATACTCTCTTCGTAATTCTCTGATGTCAAAGTTAACCCCGGTATAACGGAAAGGGCCTCCCCTTTCAAACAACCTTTCAAATAGGTAAATTTATCTATACCACTAATAGTCAGATTATTATGAATCGAAACTTGGTATTGATCACAGAATCCCTGCCAATCTAAAAGTTTCCCCGTAAACTCACGTAATGCTAATTTTGGCAATTTACAATGCGCCCATTCCGCTTGCGCTTGTATCTAAGCCAGCTGTACGTAAAAAGTAATTTGCGCTACTATCACTAAGACTTTGCGTCCGTTCAATTTTTTCGAGTTTTGGATCCGCCTTTGCCAAAATCTAAAAACTAGGTTCTACCTCTTTCATGTGATTAAGAATTTCCGGCCCGATGTCCTCGGGATCAACCAAGGATAAAATTTCATTATGGACAGTTGCCAACTGCTCGAATAGGCTGGTCGCACTGTTTCTCAATCCGAGAAGTTTAGATTGCTCACAATCACCGTCTTCCGAAGTTACATAACCGTTTAGTTCACATAAAAGAGTTTTTAAATACGTGCTAAGACCCTTGCTAGGTTTTCCGTTATCCTAACATATAAAATATCGGACACCGACTTCACAGATCACAACACTATACACTCAGACAAGACGCACAGTTACACACACATGACTGACAAGAAAAATCATATCTATTACACATTAAAAGAAACGAACGTTGCGCAACTACCGTTTACCCCATTTCAATAAAACGCAACACCAAAAATTTTACAACGCGAAAATGTTTACCACCACAATGCAACATATGCTCTCACCACTCACGAAGGACACTCAGACGTATGTTCACTATTGCCGACTTTAATGCACTATTGGTATCTTTTTCTCTTTTCTCCCGCGTTCGTTATGACCTTTTGGCTGGTCCCATATCGGGCTCCATTTAAAAAGCGTTAGACTCTTTGCTTTTTAGAAACTATTTATTTAAAAACAGAAGTCCCAAGCCAACATAATTTTCATGTTGTCAGCTTGGCTGACTTCCCAATAGTGCCTCCCACGTGCAATAGTGCAACCTTATCTGTCCCACTCACATGACTTAATTGATTAACCAATCAAATAAATGAATTTAAAAAATAAAGATCTATTGTTTTCTACAAATTGCTAAGCTGAGAGAGGCAGGTCAAGCGAATAAGATTTTTCCAGACACGCGAGTGTCAGTATAGATACTTTTTTTTGCATCAACGCATAATGTTTCTGGAGAAGTCTTGCTTGGGTTATCGTAGGCAGGGGACACAAATTGTGTCACATATATAGATGTCTCGAAGATGATGTGGACTGTTTTTTTGTTATAATGGTGAGTATAAACTCTCCTTTGCATGCGTCTGGAATTGTCGGGTCTATATGGGCAACTGCACTGCTATATGCTTTGCAGAAAAAATTGTGCCATTTTTGACAGTTTCGATCCGCTGTTTCCATATGGGCAGTATATATGTAATTAATTACTATATGGTCTGGTTAAAAAATTGTGCATCTTTGCGCCGGGATGGAGTTTTAAGTTGCTTTGCAGGGCGATTTTTCACCAACCATTTGCAAACTTCGACACGCACTGGCGAAAGTTGGTTAAATTCACTTTGTTGAAAATATTGTGAATATGTGTACTGTATAAACACGAACTAGATTTGTTGTAATCAGTGATAGGGATATCTCAATTTGGTGTTCGACCCATTTTTGCTTGCATCCGATATATAAATAGAATATATACTTTTATAGGGACAATTTTATATTTAGTTTTATACGATCAACTTTACAAAATCATCCCGACTGTTGGATGGAAATATTTAATTGCACGCTAGCGGAAACGTTTGACTGCATGGTTATAGGTGAAACCTGCATGTTTACGTCTGTAATAAAACATTTTCACGGTTTTACTCAAGCGTTTTTACGGCTCTACCAAAACGTTTTCATGACTTTACCAAAACTTTTTTACGGCCAAAGTAAAACGTTTTAACAGCTCTACCAAAATGTTTTCACGGATCGGTCAAAACGTTTTCACGGATCGATGAGAACGTTTTAACGTTTTGAATAAACCGTTTAAACGCCCAGCAATAAAATTTATACGGGCGTTTAACGGCAACCTTTTTTGATTTTCACGGATAGAAAACGGATAGCAAACGGTATTTCAGCCCGTTTTTTACAATGTATTTTTTCCCGTGGAGGGTCACATTTTGAACTTGCTGCAGTCTTTCGCTGATCCATTATAGTACATCACTTGTGTGCTTTGTTTCTTCCTAAAGGCCGGCGCACACTAGAGTTATGTGCTTAGCAAAAAATCATTGGTGGCTATTGGCGTAAGGCAGTTGCTCTCGTGTGCAGGCGACTTTTGTGGCGACTTTGGTCATTTGTGCCAATTTCTGCCTCGCTGTCCAAAATCTTTCCGTGTGCGGCCAAATGAAAGCTATCTGCTTATGGATTGTCTTAATAGCGCATGCGTAATATACGAAAGTAAACGTTCAAGATAGTGGTGCAAACAAAGCAAAACGAATTGGTGCCTGAGGCCATATTGGAAGACAAACTGGTTGCTCTTCGGATGTGAATTCTACAGATTTTAGAAACAGAGAGAAACGGGAATGCGCTATTGCAAAAATAGCTAGTAATCTTTCTCAAACAGGTAATATAACTAGAAATACATGCATGCAGCCACCCCTCCTCGTCATTTTAAATTGTCTATATCAACCTCAGGGAAATATTTTTTAATAAATTTTCGTGTTTGACCGTGAGGTGCTGTGAGTGGGAACTGGTTGCTCTTTTTCACCGGAAGTGACGTATATTGGAGAACACGCTAATTTTGTAAACAAGAAACACGCTTTAAAACATAGAAATATTGCGGCAATAAAGTGCCAAATCCTGTAGTATATAAACTTTTTGGTTCGTTTTTCGCTAAAACGACGTCGTCAAGTGTTGTTTTTCGATTTTTATTTTGTTCAATGATTTTAGCGACTATATAAGCTGCAAAGTGATATTTGTTTTATCAAAACTCCGAAGTACACTTTTGAGAACTCTTTTTAAAGTTTAAGCGATGATGTAAAGCCTTAAACAGTCGGTTAGCTACTTGCAAAAAGACATACCAAGCTCGTACTTGTCAAAATAACAATGCATTCTTACAGCAAACACTGAATAAGCAAAATATGGACACCTACCACTTCACAGATTTTAAACGACGAGTCGTTCCTATTTCACCAACTGTTTCTGTGATGTGATGATCTTTAAATCTTTTATTATTGTTTTAATATTTGACTCCATGATTTCATTTTATATTTTCAAAAAATAGTTTGCAAAATGACGGTTAAAATGCTGACGCTCTCGGCTCTCATGCATAATCTCTTCTTGTCTTAGCTAATCAGCAAGTTGTGCATGCACACAACGATCATGACCGTTGAACGTCCATGCCATTTGGTCAACTTTGGATTCGCCTATGTTCTGTCGGAATATCCGGGTGTAATTCCTAATCTCCGGGCGGGATTAGTACCCTTGCACAGCGCCGGCTCGGGGATAAATACACAGTATGTGAGTGTATCAGTAACTCTATTTCCCCAGAGAATTGCATGGCATTGAAAATACTATATGAGAATCCTAAGCCTCAATAGTTCTCAATATAAGTAGGAATGCTCTATCCGCGATCGTATAAAAATATTACGGTAGAGGCTACACGACTTCTGAAACATTTCAATTAAGATATTTAATATATATATATATATATATATATATATATTATATATATATTATATATTTATATATAATATATATATATATATATATATACACCCATTTGCAAAAACGTTGGCCGCAGATATATAGATAGATAGATACTCGAAGTCTAATTAGAATTGCATATGGGCACCCATATATGTGGGCACCCATATGGGTACATGCATTGAACAGTGGAAATGAACTTGCTAACAAATGCCGTCACGGAGTAAAGCTTCGCCCGTTTGTAAAAGCTTCACCCATGCATATGTATTCACCCGTTTGCAAAAACGTTGGCCGCAGATAGATATATATAGATAGATACTCGAAATCTAATTAGAATTGCATATGTTGTGTAATATGATTGAAATCCCTTGCAAATGTAATCATATGCAATTCTAATTAGACTTCGAGTATCTATATCTATCTATATATATATATATATATATATATATTATATATATATATATCTGCGGCCAACGTTTTTGCGTTAGTAAGACTATGTTAAATTGGCGAGGAGTTTCAGCATGCTTGGATTTCTAGTTTCATAAAAAGCTTACACTATACAAAAACGCTCGCCATAGGTCAGTGCAGGCCTATCAAAAATTTCTCGCAACCAAAGATTAGGTAAATATCCCATAAAAAATAAATATCAACCACCAGTATGGACATACATAGCGGAGAAAAACCATTATATGTGTATAATACCTGTATCGTTCACACAAATAGCTTCATATGCCGCAATATACTCTTCAACTTCCTCTAAAATATCCTTGCAACAATCAGGAGGAAGATTTTTTGCACAGCACTTTTTGTGCTTCAATCTTCTCGTTCACTACTGATTTGATTTTTTCACAACAGATTGCATCGCCACGGCCGCTCAAATAAAGAATCCCAGCAAAAAGAAAGAACAACGTGTTACTCATTTTTTCTGGTTGTGATAATAACTAGATTATAGCTGATTAAGCCCTAGTCAAGTCAAACTAATTCAGCTTTATAAATATCGTATGTGTGGGAGGAGCAAAGATATTATGTTCAGGGGCTTCCTCGAGCAGAGTATGTGTCTTCATGCGTTTGTGCCTTCATGCGTATATTTTCAAACAAGTATATCCTTCCGTTTAGCACTTATGATATTATAATCCTATTACAAAGTGCAGGCGACTGGAGCGTCATAAAATTCGTTAATGAACATATATTTCGTCTTTACCCGCGAAACAGAGCTTTTGGAAGACTGGATAGGGAAAACTGAATATTGTATACTACATAACTGCGTCCACCTCACCACAAAATAATTATCTCGCCCGTCACGGCTTTATGCAGCTGACTTTTGATGATGATAACGGTTAGTACAGCAGTCAATTGTGCTGATGAAATGTCACAGAATATTCGACGAATGATCAATACACGATGTGTTTAATAACGAATACGAAATCAATATTCCAAATGACACAGTGCACACATGCAAGTACCAGCACAGTATAAGTTAGGCTATTTCCATAAAAATCGAAATTTGATTTTTTAATGATATGAATGGTCAACAGGGCAGGTGTTAAAGGTTTAAATTAGAGGGCGGAAGTTCTTATACGCACCCAAGCATGTGAATGAACGCACATAACTATAAATTCAGCTTCTAATGCCCGCCCTAATAATGCAATGATTGTTTCCCAATAATTAGAATTTGCTTGCTTTTCAAAACGAAGCTTTATACATGCCTTATACGCCAAAAGAATTTAATAAAAATTGGAAAAGAAACAGCGACTGTCAACTAATCACTCTATACCAATTGTGTACCAAACATTTGCAAGCAAAGTACCTTTTCCAAAGGAATAATTTATCTTTACCTATATGATATAACCGTGTTTTTAATAATTTCAGTTGTATACGTATTCGTTTAATTGGAAATTCGTAACAACCACATTTCTGAAATAATTAACAGATTTTAACAGGTGTGAAAAGATTGATTGATTGAGGGTGTGAAAAGATTGAATGCATGCTTTATGCACACTGGAAAATATCAAAGTAAGTAAGTCTTCAAAGACAATGGCAATTTTTTTTAATTGCCTGCTATCAAAATCTCGTTACAGATCAGAACTGAATGAATACCATCTATGTTGTGGCATATTATAAATGTATTATATAATTAAAAACTCCTCGACAGGAGCGTTATAAAACTAATTGATTGCAGGTAGGAATATATTTGTACCTATATTTCGTGTGCAGAAAATTGCCATTTTGGAATAATGGATCCCGAAGAACTGAATGAATATATACTACATGTAAATACATTTACAAATAATCGCGCCCGTACGTTACGTCCTACACAACTGAGTTTTGAAAATGGTATAAGTACAGTCACTTTTTTTTTCTCGCATGCCATGCATGTACTCTCCAAAACACCCAACCCACGTAAATTTTCTAACAATTATGTTACCATCACTATGCTCAACTAATTTCGTTTAACCCAATCTAGTATATACTATGAAAATATATTCACCTATAATTGATAGCGCCCGTCACACCCTTGCAACAGACTCTTGAAATTGGTAAGTACAGTCAAGTGTCTCGATAATATAGCTCACGGAATAAACCGCGAATGATTTTGACTAATATACGAGCTGTTTAATAATGAATACTAGATCTGTATCCTACATAATATGGTGATAACATATACATGTAAGTTGGAGGAAAGCAGGGCCGTAACTAGAACGATAATTGGGGGGTGTTTATTCCTATATTCAGTTCTGCCCGACGAGTTTCTTTTGTAAGTGCAATAGCTTACAATAGAAATCTCTCGGGCAGAACTGAATATATGAATAAACACCCCCCAATTATCGTTCTAGTTATGGCCATGGAGGAAAGGTATAATAAATATGCTATTTATTTAATGTGATTTATTTACGCATGTAGATATATTGCCAGCCAAGAATTTTGTATACCCCTTCCGCAAAATTTTTAATTGCAAACATGTTTCGACTTAACTATAAGCCGCATCTTCAGTACGAATGAATTAGTTATTTATATTATGAATTATTCAAAGTATAGAAATATGATACAGGCGAGGTGATACTCATTGAATAACATAATTATTTCAGACAGTGATTGAATATGTAAGTAATATGACATGATAAAATATATGTATAATAAGTCGAACAACACAACAGACAAAAATTATAACTGAAAACTGGTATTAAAATGTTGAACCTGTTTGCTAAGGTCTGGTTTGTGTTTCCGTATGTACAGAGCCTCATTGAGTTTGAGAGAGAAGGAAGTGTTAGCAGTAATGGATCGCACTTACAAAATTATTAACACCGAGGATGGCCTCAACAAAGATCTTAAAGAACTTTCTAACACACTTCAGCGCAATTGTTCTCGCAACATGTGGTTGAACGCATCATTAGTTCTTACAATAACTGGAATATCTCACAAAGAACAAACATGCACCTCAAAACCAATCTACCTAGTCAACAACAACCCAACGTTCATTACTTCAAACTCCCGTACATATGACATTATTCGCAAATTACCGAGCAGAAACTCTTCAACACTGCCAAACGATTTTGCAGTGATATCAACATAAACCTAGTGTTCACTTCCCACAAGATCAAAAATATTTTTAGCTTTAAGGACACAATCCATAGTGATCTTAAATCCCTCATGGTATATAAATTTACGTGCGCAGGATGTAATTCCTGTTACATTGGTGAAATCACCCGTCATTTCGCTACAAGGATCAAAGAACACACCTCCACTGACCCGCTCACACGTCTACAAACTATGTACAAAACCCTAACAGCGAATCTAAATACACCCGCTCTTGCTTCACTATCCTAGACACTGCTAACACTTCCTTCTCTCTCAAACTCAAGGAGGCTCTGTACATACGCAAAGACAAACCAGACCTTAGCAAACAGGTTCAGCATTTTAGTACCAGTTTTCAGTTATAATTTTTGTCTGTTGTGTTGTTCGACTTATTATGCATATCTTGTACGTATCCTGTTATGTTGTCAATCACTGTCTGAAATAATTATGTTATTCAATGAGTATCATCTCGCCTGTATCATATTTCTATTTTGTATAATTCATAATATAAATAACTAATTCATTCGTACTGAAGACGCGGCTTATAGTTAAATGGAAACATGTTTGCAATTAAAAATTTAGCGGAAGGGGTATACAAAACTTTTAGCTGGCAATATATCTACATGCGTAAATAAATCACATTACATAAATAGCGTATTTATTTTATAACTTTCCTCCTACTTGCATGAATATGTTATTACCATATTATGTAGGATATAGATCTAGTATTCATTATTAAACAGCTCGTATATTACTCAAAATCATTAGCGGTGTATTCCGTGAGCTATTATCGAGACACTTGACTGTACTTACCATTTTCAAGAGTCTGTTGCAAGGGCGTCGGGGGCGCGATCAACTATAGGTGAATGTATTTTCATAGTATATACTAGAAATGCATGCTTGCAGCAACCCTTCGCCTCGGTTAAAAAATTTAGTTGAACATATAGTGATAGTAACATAATTGTTAGAAAATTTACGAAGGTCTTTAAGTGTTCAAAGACAACGGCAAATTTTTTTTTATTGTCTGCAATCAAAATCTCATTACAGATTATTCGTGGTCTGTCAGGTTGCAATATTTTGATGGAACGAATGACTTTTACTTTACATATTTCGGTAACTGTTGTGGCATATTATAAATGTATTAAAAAATTAAAAACTCGTCGACAGGATCGTTATAAAACTAATCGATTGCAGGTAGGAATATATTTGTACCTATATATTTCGTGTGCAGAAAATTTTGGAATAATGGATCCCTATATGTAAATACATTCGTAAATAATTGCGCCCGTTACTTCCTATGCAACTGAGTCTTGAAAATGGTAAGTACAGTCAGATTTTTTTTCTCGCATGCCATGTGCCCTCCAAAACTCCCAACCCTGATATTTTGTGTGCATAAAGCATGCAAAAGGCTTCGACACATGCATTCAATCTTTTCACACCGTCAATCAATCAATCTTTTCACTCTCTTGCAAATCTGTTATTAATTATTTCAGAAATGTGGTTAACGAAATTCCAATTAAACGTACGTATACAACTGAAATTATTAAAAAATCACGGTTGTATCATATGTAAAGATAAATCATTCGTTTGGAAGAGGTATACTTTGCTTGCAAATGTTTGGTAAACAATTGGTATCAAGTGATTAGTCGACATTCCCTGTTTCCTTTCCAATTCTAATTAGTTTCTTTCGGCGTATAAGGCGTATAAAGCTTCGTTTTGAAAAGCAAGCCAATTCCAATCATTGGGAAAAAATCATTGCATTATTACGGCGGGCATTAGAAGCTGAATTTAATTATGTGCGTTTATTCATATGCTTGGGTGCGTATAAAAACTTCCGCCCTCTGATTTAAACCTCTAACACCTGCCTTGTTGACCATTCATATTATTAAAAAATCAAATTTCGATTTTAATAGGAAATAGCCTAACTTATACTGTCCTGGTACTTGCATGTCTGCACTGTGTCTTGTATAGAATATTGATTTCGTATTCGTTATTAAACACCTCGTGTATTGATCCAAATTATTCGTTGCATATTCTGTGACATTTCATCCGGACAATTGAGTGAATTGGCTGCTGTACAGCCTGTACTAACCATTATCATCATCAAAAGTCAGCTGCATAAGCTGTGACGGACGCGATACTTATTTTGTGGTGTGAATTGTGGTGATAATTATTATGTAGTATACAATATTCAGTTTT